CCAAAAACAGAGTGATCTTTTGAATATTTAAATCCAATCTTATCTCCCCTTGGCTCAAAAATCCTCCCATGGCTTCTCATAACACTCAGAAAAAAACTCAAAGTCTTTCCGCAGTCAGGGCCTTGCCCACCTTTCCTTTCTCTCAAACCCACTACCCAGGGCTCTGCACCCTCCAACCATGAAGGCCACTTTTTATTGCTTGGACACTCCATCCTACCTCAGGGCCTTTGCTCCTGCTCTTCCCTCTGCCTAGCACACTCTCCCTCATCCTCACATCTCACCCCTTCACTTGGTTCAGGCAGCGCCTTGGTGAGGTCACCAGACCATCCTGAGTCGGTCTCTTCCCCGCTCTCCTCTAACCCCTTACCCTGCTTTGTTCTTCCTCACAGCTCTTATCGCTGTTGACATTGTTTGTCTGAGCCCATCAGCATTCCTTCCCTTTGGAAGGATAATTTTACCAGAGACGGAATTCTAACTTGGTGGGTTTTCTTCTTTCAACATTTTAAATATTCCCTCTCATCTTGCCTGTTTGTCGTCTAAAGAGAAGTCTGATGTAATCTTTGTTCCTCTGTAGCTAAAGTTTTTCCTCCTCTCTGGCTTCTTTCAAGATTTGTTCCTTGTCTTGATTTTCTGTTGTTCAAATATGATATGTCTAAGTAGTTAGTATTGACCCTGCTTGGTATTCTTTTTGTTGAGTTTGTGTTATATATTTATTTATTTGCTTGTTTGTTTACTGACTGCCTTCCACGTGAAAATGTAAGTTCAAGAGGACAGGGAATTTGCCTTTCAAGTCCCCAGTGGACAGTCTTAGGAGCCACCATCATTCAATAAATGTTTGTTGAATAAAGAATGAATAATCAAATATACAATGGTAAGTTTGTATGAGAAAGCAATCTTAGTGTAATTAACATTAGAGAATATTCCATGTTTTAGCTTCTTTACTTCAAGCTATTTTGTCTATTTTATATGTCAGTATAAAGTTGTCAGCTGGACTTGATAGAACTGTATTCACAGAAACGACTACTTACTATGGCCACACACTCTTCAATGGTTTTCATATAAGCTAACTCATTTCCTCCTCACCAGAATTCTTTAAAGTAAAACTACCTAGGAAATTACTTAGGAAAATTATTTTCCTCATTCTAGATATGAGGAAACTGAGGCATAGAGAAGGCAAACAACTTGCTTAAAGCCACACAGATACCAAAAGATACAGCTAGATTTTGAACCCACAAGATGTGGCTCCTAAGGCCGTTAACCTAACCTCTGACTTCTGCCTCTACTTCCCTTTCACTGAGGTCTAAGCAGGGTGCGCTAATACCAAGTACACAGCTCAAGAAATCTCTATGTACATTTTGACCCCTGTGTAGTCACTTCCCAGACCTGGAACTGGACCCTGGCCTGTGTGCCCCAGGACTTCTGATGTCTCTTTCAGTCCATTCTCTCCACAGTGACCACTAGTCTAACCTCTACCATTGTCAGTTTATATTGGAAAGGACCATCTTTCACTTTATCCTCTTTATTTTTATTTTTTTTCTTTTGATTTCTATGTGGTTCTGGGAATTGAACCCAGGTCCTCATGTTGGCTAGGCAAGCACTCGACCATTGACCTGCATCCCTGGCCCTAGCCTCTTTCTTTTTTTTTTTTTTAATTTTTGAAACTTTTTAATTTTTTTGGTACCAGGGATTGAACTCGGGACCTTGCGCTTGCGAGGCAGGCGCCGGAAGCACTGAGCTAAATCCCCGGCCCTATCCTCTTTCTTTTTAAAAAAATGGTGCTAAAATATCTTTCCTTCACTTGCTCTTTAATGGCTTTGCTGTGTAAGTGAATAGTAAGGAAACTAAAATATCATTTCATGGTTGGTTCATACCACATTTGGAAAGCAGCAAGTTAGAATTCCTGCCTCAGATCCCACTTGGCTCTGAGGTGCCTTCCTGAGTCTCCTAGATGGAGGGAAAGGTGAGGGGTTTGGAGACAGTAATGCACGCTTGTGGAAGCACTGGCCTGTGGCAGGTGTGCAACACCTTGCTGATGGTTGGGTGGAAGGACTCGTCATCTGCAGTAGATGATGTTCTCACCTTTGAGAAGCTCCTGGACAGTGGCTTTCCTCTGTCTGGGGAGGAGGCACTGCTGCCAGCAGTGGTCAGATGCCCCAGACTGCCGGGCACCAGGGCCATCTAGGGCCCCTGGCTGACTCTCACTGCTCCACTCACAACCACACGGACGTGCACCATCTGCATCACCATTCCTACACTGTGGCCCAGCCCTGGATTCCCCCCATGGCTTTCTTTCAGACGGCCTGACCCCCTCTACAGGGCCTGCTTCTGCCTCTTGGCTTCCTCTTTCTCCTGCCTGGGGCTGACTTGGGTCAGTCCAGGATCAAAGCTTTGGGGATGTCACAGCCCAGGAATGAGGGCTTTCATGGGAGGGGGGCACACAGTTCAGAGGAGAGAGAAAGCCAGACAATTCTTTGCCCTTGAAAGCCCAGAATGCTCTGTGGCCCTGGTCATTCCATCTTTAGTGCTCTCTCCCTCTCCTTCTCCCTTTCCCTCTCCTCCCCCTACTTTCCCATCTCCCTCTGCCTTCCTCCCGCCTTCCCTCCAGTTTTTCCGCCCTTCTTCCCTCCCTCCTTCCCTCATGGACAGCTGGACAAGGACAGTAACAGCTAGAAGGTCTGAATTCTAGGTCTGTCACTTGCCCCCAGCCCCCTCCTCAGTTTCTCCCTAAGTCTCTGAAATGCTTTGAAGTACTTGAGAGTTAAGGTATGTTTGTATTTTGACAAATATAGCAGAGAAGAGAGAAGCAGCAAGGGAAGGAAAGAGAAGGATCTGGAGTACAGACACAGAGCAGGTTAACAGTATGGGGTGGGACAGAGTTTGCTAGGGAAGACATGGTCCCTCCCCAGGTTACAGCTCCTAGGGATCCAGTGTGCACATGGCCTGGCAAGGGCCGGGTACCCCTGGCTTTGCTCCTGTAGAGTACTGAGGGGCAAGGTTTTACAACTTTGGAGTGGGGATATGGAAGGATTGCTGTGACCCTTGGGTAGTGCTGCTCCTTTGCCTCTACCCACCCCATGCACCCAAGCCGGTCACAAGCACCAAGGTTCCCCAGCCTCCCAAAGAGGGGCCAGGAGGTGCAGGACCAGGATAGAGACTGAGGGCCCAGCCCTGTATTTCTAGGACCCCACCTACCCCCAGACCGACAGCTGTCTGTCCTGCTCCAACCCTGTCCAGCACCCACTCAGAACTTCATAAGCTCAGACTTCATAATTCCCAACCTCCCCATTCCCGGGGCCCTTCCCTGGGTGTCAGCAGCAATTTCCTGGCAGGCCTGGTGACAGGAGCCTGTGTTGGCCCAGGGGAAACCCAACGCCATGGTGTCAGCAGCGAGTGTCCCTTGGTGTCCTGAGAATTGGGCTGAGATTGTGCAGACCTGATTGTGCAGAGGGTGGGTGATGCTACCTCCCCTCCTACATGGCTCCCCTGTCCCACACTCAGTAGTGGAGGCTACGGTGCCCAATCCTCTTGTACCCAAGGACTCTGGTAAAGACCCCTTTTCTCCACTTCATAAGCAGACCAGATGGGAGAATGGTGCTTTGGGGAGGAGTATATGTAGCTTAATGCAAAGGTCCTAGGTTCAGTCTTCAGTACCAAAAACAACAACAGCAATAGCAACCACAAAAACTGAGCAGTCTCTGCTCTCAGAGGACCCACTGTACACTGGGGGAATCAGACTGGAAAAAACACACAATAGAGTAAAATAAAGACTGTGATACAGAAAATGCTGGCTTTGGGGCCATGCATTTGCCCTGTAAAAAATGTGCCCAGAGCTTGGGAGATTTGTCATTGACATACACCGTGGTGTGTGCAAAATGGAATATATTATGTAGTTGAATTATCTCTTGACAGTTTTGGATGCAGGAAATCAATCTGTCTATCTATCTATCTATCTATCTATCTATCTATCTATCTATCTATCTGCAGCACTAATATGTTCACCATTTTCCTGGATAATATGTAAGTCACCATCCTTGGCCCAGAGCAGGGACTGAGTCAAGTTCTGCTGAATTGGATAGGATGGACCTATCTGTCGGGGGAAGATGACTCATGGCTGGAGGACATACTCTGAGAAGTGAGAGTGGTCTCAGCCTGGAGGGTTCGGGAGATGCTGCCAGAGACTTGGGATAGTGGGTAAGTAGGAAGGAGGGAAGGAAGGAAGCAAGCAAGCAAGCGAGGGAGCAAGGGAGGGTCAAGGGTGGTTTTCACCCACAATGGCAAGAGGCAGGGAGGTTCTGGCTGATTCCCAGGTTAGCTCTTTTCTCATGATCTGCAGAGCCTTTGCTTTTGTTATCGATAGAGTTTCACTCATATGGGCTGGCTGAGTGAGTTCATTCCCTGCCTCCTCCTTAAGAAGTCTTCAGCCTGCAGCATAGCCATGTGCTGGGTGCTTAAGGCTGGCCCAGTTAATTTCCCTTAGCTCAGTCACCTTACCATTCTCAATCTGCTGACTGCTGCTGTGGGGATTCACTCAGAGGTCACCTGGAGAACGTCTCCTCCTTTGGCAGAAGGTGAAGCTGAATATGTAGCAGTTTTCTCTGGCCCTGCCTAGCCATCTGAGGTTTTAGACCCCAGGTATCCCAGTCCAAGCCCCTGCTGACCCATCTATGATAAGTCCTGTAATGTGCATTTATTAAGTACTTGTAGTATGCAGAATCCTGGATTGGGCCTTGGGCTAGATAAGAATGTCTCTAAATAAAATAATGTAGTTGTTTCCAAACCTGTAGATTTTATGGACCAATTAACCATTCTAATTGAAGGATGGATGTAGGTTGGACTATTCTTGTTTTGCCAAGAATAGACTTCCTAAACATCCTGTTTCATCATGTTATGTAATAAGAAAGAGTATGTTAAATCAGAAAAGGGAGGGTAGCATTCCAAATTTTAAAATAAAAATGTAGCCACATAAAGAATTCAGTGCTTATTTTTCTCCTTCATCTCAGACTGGAAAAAGCATCATCATGAAACAGAACTCTTCCCTGGGCCTCAATTACAAGACCTGCATCTGCCCCAAAGACACTAAACAGTCCTGTGATACTCAAGTTGTGTTAACTTGAGTAAGAAATGTCCAACTGGTTGGGTTAGCGTAATTCTTGGTGTGGCTGAATGGATTTGCTGAAGATAGAAGACCCTCCATCCCTAGGTGTGAGCATCACCAGCCAATAGGCTTGTAGCCTGAACTGAATAAAAAGGGAAAAGATGGAGGAACTCTTGCCTCAGTTTCTTTGGAGGAGTTCATCTTTGTTATTGCCTTGGGATGTCCATCTCCAGGCTTCAAGCTCAAACTCTTCAGCCTTCTAATGTAGATACTCCAGCTGCCAATGAGACTCTGCATTAAGCGCCAAGTCTTTCACCTTTGCAACTGGATTGTTTGGCTCTCCCGTGCTCAGACAGTCCTTTTTGCATTCTTTTTTTTTTTTTTTCCTTTTTGCTTTCTTGTACACCTGACTCTGCAGGTGGCCATCGTAAGCCTACCTTGTAAATTATATATATTTCTTGTTTAATGACCTACTTATTTAATGAGTGTTCAGACTTGCAACCTGCTGCTTGGACTTATGACCCCTCTTTTTTTGTTTGTTTTTTTGTAAAGTTCTGTACATCTTGTTTATGGAGCCTCAATGTCTTTTTTTAGTACAGTGCACCTTGTTTATATGGTACCATACTTTTTGATGATTGTACTCTACAGAACAGTACTGTAGTTTTATGTTCCATTGTATATTACAGTACTGCATGTAAGAGTTATGCAAATAAAGTCCTCGAGTTAGAGATTCCTTTGACTATTTTTTTGTTCTGAAAATTATAATGTACATACTATATACAATTCCTCATTTAGTGACCAGTTCATTTAATGGCCTAGTCAAAGGAACAAAATCAGAAAAAAAACTATGTGTATATGTATATGTGTATGTATATGTATATCTATATCTATATCTGTTACTCTAGTGAGCCCTGACTAAAGTGCCCTCCAGGAAGAGGTGGGTCCAGAGAGCTGGAATGAGGTTGGAGCAGGGGTGGATTGAGGGCCTTCTCCTGGTGCCTAGCAAGGAAAACTAAGGAGAACCAAAAGGTCTGGGAAGGGCAATTGTCTGACATCATTTTTTTTCCATCTGAATGCTTTGAGTTATTCACTAGGCTGAGATGTTTGGGCTCTGTGGGTTGGGGGGACTGACCAGATAACCTAATCCTTAGTGACTTGTACCAGCTTCTTCTGTCACTGGCCATGTAGTCTTGGACCTCTACTGGGACCTTTCTGTGTCCTTGGTTCACTGGGCTAATGTGCAGATCAGCATTCATAGTTGTGTGGTCACAGGGGCTTCTTTTAAAGAAGTTGCCAAATGTTTCAGGATCTAATAGCAGCAGTTTATGTCCTATAACTCCACCCTACAGACCAAGAGACCAAAGACTCCTGAAGGGATGAGACCCCTAAGCTTGTATGGTGATCTGTCACAGTGCGACACTATGGTCCTGGTTCCTGACTTCCCCCCAGAGTCCTTGCTTCATATCCCACAGCCTCCAAGTCTGCTTCCAACCTGAGGTCTGCCCAGGGATGCCATTTTCTCCCAGCCTCTTGCCCTTTCAGGCCTTTGTTTCCTCAACCTAACCTTGACACTTCCCATTGGCCACTGCATTCTTCATGTTTAACTTAATGGCAGCACTTGTCTCTTCAGGTGGTGACATGTCTAGACATGAGGCACAGTCCAGACACCGTTGCTCAGGCTCTGAGATAGCCCTGGCAGGGTTTCCCTGGTACTGGGTGGTGGAAACCAACATTGACCCTCCCTCCCCTCCTTCCTATCATCCTCTATTCCAAAGGCCAGAAGGAACCTCCTCCTCTGGAAAAATGACTCCCTGTTGGATCATCTAGGCTTTGGGGGGGCCCCTTGGTTTCCCATTGGTACCTCCCCTCACCACCAGTTTCCCTCCTGCCTCACTCCAGGATGAGGATTAGGGGCAGTTCTGGCTCCCCTTACTTTCAGGAAAACCTGTCTTTTGCCTCCCTGCTTCCCATCCTTTTTATCCTCGCTGGCTCTGGCCCTGGGCCCCTGGTTCTCTCCCTCCCAGCCTTATCTGCCTCAGGATCTGACCTGCACATGCACTCGCTGCTCTGCATGCTTCTGACCCCGGGATGGCACCACCGCCCAGCCTGCCTGCCCTGGGGCCAGCTCCGGCCTATTCTCCCTCCCTTGAAAAGCCCCCATGTCTTGAAGCTGATTAAAACAAACACAGCTCATATTTTTGTTCTTAATCCAATTCTGCACTGGGCTAGGGTCGAGGAGGAGGATAGGATGACAGAAGCACATTCCTTGCCATGCTAGGGGGGAGAGCCAGAACCAGGTACCTAACAGGAAGTCTCCCATGGTTGGAGAAGCTACAGTCCAAGCATGGTGCTAGGGAATGGTGGTTATGGACCCCTCCCTGGGAAGGACTCAGCTGCAGCTGAGGGGTGAGGGGAGAGTGGATAAGAAGTCTCTAGGGTTTCCCAGAAAGGGAGGCCACAGGCCCTTCCAGGAGCAGCCAGCTGGGACAGGGCTCCCAATAGAAGCTTTATTCTTCCCCATCTAGAAACAAGACAGAATCTCTTGTCTAAGCAGAGACTTCCTGGTGACATCTTTCCTCAACACTTGGCCCTGGAGCTCCTCAGGTCGCACACACCCAGACTCATGCAAGGGCCACCTTCCCATCCCACAGACAAGGCTCCCAGGCCTCTGCAAACTGTAGCTTGTGCCCTTGCCACCCTGGACTTTCCCATGAAGGGACCTTACCACAGACTATGAAGGCAGGAAAAGTCTCATGTGGTGTCTACCCTCTGGAGGCCAGTGACTGGATCTGAATCTTGTCCTGTCACTGCTCTTTGTGTGACCATGGGCAAGTTGTTTAATCTCTTTGCACCTCAGTTTTATCATCTATAAAATGGGCCTGGAGTAGCAGCTACCTCATAGGATTGTTGTGAAGTTGTATGTTGGAACAAAAACACTAAGAACAGTATTTGGCACTATTCTGTATAATGTTCTGCATATACTATCTCCATATGGCATAAGCCATGCTATATTTTGGCACTGTATACTGTACTAAAGGGAATCTTGACTATCATTGACATTATTCAGGGCAGACAGAGGTAGTCCTATATCCACCCCATCATGACTGTGTGGTTTTAAGCAAACCTTCCCCATTTTCTGAGCTTCAATTTCTACATTTTCAAAATGGGAACAAACTCAGCCTCAGAGAATGGTCATAGGGTTTAGATGTAATAAGTATGAAAATACTGGGCAGGGCACATGTTCATTGAATCGCAAAATTATATGATTTCATTGTGCAAGAGAGAAGTTAAGAGTTAGGTCAAATAAAAAGAAAGGGGAAAAAGAGAAAAGAAAGGTAAAATATCTCAGGATGGACTCTGGAATAGTTTAGAAAAGGAGAATAGGAACAAGACTGAAAATATGCAAAAGAATAAGAGAGAAAACTGCCAAGAAGAGGAGAAAGAGAAAGAGAAGGATGAGAAGAAGGAAGAGCCTTTGCTGCTAGATAAGGTATAAGCAGGAAAAGAGCTAGATAAGGGTCAAGAAGGTAGAAAGGGGACAGCCGGTGAGAGCCTTAGCATGTCTCTTGGGAGCCTCTGGTTAGGACTCCTCCCTGGCTTCTGACCCTCCTGTGCTTGGAGGCAGTGCCCCTTACCTTCCTTGCATGGAGAGCCAAGATCCCTACGAAGGTCTCTGATCATTTGGAAAACAATTCTGGGCTGCAGGTTCATGTATGTTTGCATATTCATAGTCTTTAGGGCTAAAAAAGATCTTCAAGATCCATAATTGAATCCTAGTAGTGACAGTTTTCCTACCTTGCTACTTCTGGAGTGACTTGTGTACCTCTCAGGTGGCCTGAATACCTTGCAAGTACCTCTGTATACCTCACTGCCTCTCCAAGGTGTTTAATGGGCCCTTCCTATGTCAATCTCCAGCGGCTGTGGGACCACATGGTTACCTCTTCTGTTGATAAGCAGCCGTCTGGAAGTACCTATTTTGTGTCCCACCTGAAGGACAGAGGGTATTCAGAATTACCCTAGCAGACTGTCTGGGCTGTGGTGGTGGGGTTCTCTGCCCGTTTGTTTTTGGTCATTGCCTTCCAGGCTCTAGGGGTTCTCATCCTCCATGTCCTGTGATCACATGGCTTTGACTATGCCAAATCCTCATACCACAGCTAGAAATTGAGATGCATCAGTAGGTCAGGGGAAAGTGGACTGGAAATGTCCCATAAAAGTCTTGGGCTCCCTGTAAATACAGAGCGCAGGCCTTTGAAAGCCCCAAGCACTTTTACGTACTAGTTAAAAGGCCTTCTTGTTGTGTTGCCAGGATTTACAGGATTTGCTGGGGGGAGGGGCAGCAAGGTCAAGTGTAGCCTCCACCTACTGACCTGGATTCCAGAGGACAGGAAGGATGGGAGGTCCCAGCCACTTCTTAGCTGTCACACTCTGCTACCAAGCAGGGACTTGAGGCCAGCAGCATCCACCGCCAGAATAAGGAATGCTCCAGATGGAGGCAGAGCTCTCAGGAGACAGAGGCCAGGTTGCCCCTGTGGACTAAAGCATGAAGGTCTAAGATGATGCAGCTGCTTCATGGGAGAGATGATTCTAAGGCCAGCCTTGCCCATGCCCTGTGTCTGTGTCAGCACCAAGGGATGCTGGGGAGCATCTGTCCTATCCTGACTCATGAGTAGGGGACCATCAGCCTACCTCCCTGTGATACCCTGTAGAAATTAATTTAAACTTAAAATGGCTCTCAAACTCGAAGTATTATTCCTTCTTGGAATAATAAGCTGCACAGTTTGTTTTTCCCTTGCAAGAGGTGGGCTTAGCAAATCAGGGCTAAGAAAGTCCCTGCCTGGCTGATTATGAAGGTACACTGTGCTGGTATGCTGTGCTTGTTTTTCCACAGCACCCTGTGTTCGTACGCACAAGGGCCAGTCACCACATCATTTCCAGCTCCTATGGGTTCTCCTTCCAGATTGTGAGCTCCATACCTGTGGAGCAGAACTGAAAGGGAAAGCCATTATTCACTGGCCACCTGGGAGGCAGACTCTAAGCTGGTGATTTGTTTACCTGGTCCCCTTGCCATTGTCCTTCCAGGTCATAGTTAAGGATTTGCCAACCTCTTCTCCATCATCAGGCCCTTTAAGTTTCCCGACTTCCCACCTGGGTAATAGTAACTCCAGGGTATAAATGAGGAAACTGAGCTCCATGGGAGTTTGGGAACTGAGGGAAGCTCCAAGTTTCTAGTGCCCAGCCCAGAGTTCTTTCTTTGTCCTTGTTTCACCTACTTATAGTTTTTTGGTTTCCTTGTTCCAGGAGGCTGGCAAATGGAGAAAAACCCTGCTTCCTGCTAGTGTCAGAGGTACTGCTATACACTTTTGCCTTGCAAGCCTGTCTTGTCTCTATCAAACAGTCTTGCCTCTTGGCTACTTGCTCTTGCTGTCTTTTTCTGCACTTGCTTCATCCTCAGCCCATTCTCTCTGGGAGAGCAGCAACCAAAGCTACATTCAGCATCCCCAGGTCTGGGGCCCTAAGGCTCTATACTCAGGCAGGAGGATTTCTGCATTGACCTCACTGTAACCCCTATCCCCAGTCTGCTGGTCCAAAGTGCCCATGTGGCCTCAGGCCTTTGGCATTCTTTCCTGATGCTGCTACTCCCCTGTGCTCCTCTGTGACCCTATTGAGTTTCCCCAGGTCTGGGCATCCAAATGCTGCCATATGGGGGAGAGCTACATTTCCCCTATAT